GCAACATTGATTTAGTGCACTTTCAATGTTTAATTTCGTGTTTTGTCAGACAATTTCAAATTTAGTGCAAACAAATTCAAACAATGAGCACACGTTTTCGACCCGGAGTATTCGATTTCGTCCCGTCTACGCCGAATTGCGTTATTCAGAAATCAAATTCGTCTAATTGATTTATATGAGACGAATTTGATCTCTGAATGCTGCCATTCGGCAACAGCTTGGACGAATTTGATCTGTAATGACGAATTGTCTCGACCCGGTGACTAAAGTGGGTGACCAAACTTTGAAATTGAACGGTTAATGACTAAGTTGTTTTTGTAAAAGCGCGTGAAATTTTTCGTGGACGAAATTAAACGATAAAGTTGGTGAATTTGAGTGAAAAATCTTTTAAAACAGCCGGGAAAACCTAAAATAAAAATATACAAAAAAATATTAAGATAAAAACGTTTGTGCAAAAATCAAGCAAAGAAGTGTCGAGGAACAACATTTTGATGCTCGAAAACTGCCCTTTTTAGGTGCTATATAGGCATACAGGATTTGCTTTTCGTGCATTTTGTTCGTTTTCAAAAATAACATCACTCAAAACTCACAGAAGACTGACTGTTCAAAACATGTGTAAGTTTAGCTCCGTACGTTTTTTTGCAGGAAAAAAACAACGAGTGAAAACAATGCACAACATTTAGATTACGAAACACGATTTCGTCGATGAAAAACTTTATTCCAAAATCAGTCATTTGATTGATCGTTTGAAATCAACTATATTTCTATATTTCTTCCAAGTAAGATTTTCAATATCCAAGTAAGAGTTTTTAAAAACAATCCGGTAGGTAGCTTTTTGGATAATTGCAAATTATCATATTTGCCATTAAATCGATTAGGAAACTAAAAACACAATTTGGCCATTCAATATATAGTTTATTACATCTGAATCTTAAGGAGCTTTCGCCTTAAATACCCCTTTTGGCACTTAAACACTTTACCACAAAAGCAAAAAAGTAGGGCGCCACGTAATGGCTGAGTTCCAGTGAATTCACAAAATGTTTACCCATGCCTATCCCAGTGGTGACCGCTCTATATATACAGACACACGCATGAATGTTTTACTATACTCATGAGGACCCGATCCTTTCCTTCTTTTGCTCCCTTTTGTTTGTACTCCCCATAACACAATTCTCCCGAGGACCTGGGCCCAGGTCCTCGGGCCCATTGAAATCGCCCACACCCCATTGTTCCAAGTCCTCGGTCTGAATGGATAACCAACAGACCTGTTGCGACACCCCGCACATAAGATTGCCCGTTTAGACAAGTGCGTTGAGGCCATACACTTGTAGAGGTGTCTGAACGTAGGGGTGCCGAAACATAGGTTTAGCAGTCGCAACATATAGGGGTGTCGGAACATAGAGTTGTCGGAACATAGGTTGAGCAATTGGAACATAGGTGTGTCGAGACATAGGTGTGTTGGAGACATAGGTGTGTTACCATTCCAGCAATACAAAATCATTGCTCTTTGATGCGCCCCAACGCATAAGGTTTACATACAAATTGTAATTGTAACTAAGCATTAAAACTGTCATCTTGATAAAAAGGCACTTTATAATACAATTCCGACAATCTAAGCAAAGCCGTCTCTATAGTAAGAAAACAAGCTGTTACATATAAGCCATTTTTAAAGACGAAATGACCGTGCTCTTCAAAAAGAATTCTCCTCAATTTTGCAACTTATGAGGCTACGTTTTATTTAATTGAAAAAGCCACTTTTGGGCGTTCGCAACCCTCTCAAAAGAGGCTTAAAGTTTTAGTTGTTTTTTTTGCGCACAAACTATCTCCGTCCTGAATGTAGACTGGTTCTCCGTCCTTTCAGCATAAAATGCATAGGGGGCGGGAACATGTCTACCCATCAACGACTGAATTATTTTCGGGTTGCGAAATAATTCGAAACTCGTACCGTATATGCATATTTTGCCATTTGCCATGAATTTAAAAAAAAATCAAGCTAAAAACTAGGCACGATATTAACACCCCAAACCATTGCCTGTAATCGCATATTATTACGCATGCATGCTGCTTTCGAGGTTTTGAGAGCTAATTCAGTTTGTATAGCGTTAAGACCAAGTGCTACATTACAATATCTATTTATCTTCACTGCATATATACAAGCAAACATTATGTCTTATACTACTATACGTGAAAAGGTACCATTAAGGAGACACGTTATCGTAATTTCTTCCCACAATGGGAAACATCGGTCATTAGGGAGACATATTCATGTCTCCCTAATGTCGCAGCCCCCCTTTAGAGGCACAATTTTATTGTCGCATTTACTATAATTATAATAATTACTAGTAATGGTTCATTTGGGAGACATCCTAAAGTCTTGCACACACTTTTTTTGTCCTAAATGTAATGACCCCTTACCCCAAGTTTACTTTATCCTACCACCACGAGTGTTTGGAATATTTATGTTTTGGACCTCGAGCGAGCCTTTTTGCGACAGTTTTCTAAAACTTTGCCTCTATCCCTTCGTTCACAAGTACCCCCTCACCGGCAAAGAAAGTACAGTTGGGGGTGACTGACCGACGCCATCTTGCCTGACTGCAAGTTTGCCGCGACGCGCGGCCGTACCACTGCGTGAACATAGTACAAATCCTAGGTAAAAGGGCGCCCTCTCTGTTCACGCACGGAGCCCATATGGGGCTGTGACATTAGGGTGACACTATAATGTCTCCCTAATGCCCGGTGTCTCCCTAATGTATCATTAATGACGACAAAATGTCTCCTTAATGGGTCACTTAACAGGTGTTAATATATATACATTTATATTATTTTTTATATATATATAGATATTTTATATATTATATATATGATTGTTATAATTGTGTTAGCAATAATGATAAACATAAGGCCAAAAACGTGTAATCTTATGATTTCAACAAAACTTAGGCCCACATAATAATTCAAAGATGCAAGTAATAAAGGTAATTTCATATGCCATTGTACTCATTATATTACAAATCATGAGAAATTGTTCAAACGATTGAATTTACGTCGAGATGATGTAAATCAATAATAATAGGGTTTTGCCCCTCACCGACGTATAAACACTGTATACTTAGTGTGTTACCTCCCGAGTGTAAGTTACTGGAGTTGGACTCGAACCCACGACCTCCTGCTTTTAAGTGCAGACGTCTTACAACTCGACCACTGAGCTTGCGGATCGGTTGGCCGGTTTGAATCTGAGGTATATGTAGCTGCGGGTACTGCAATTTAACTCGTCATACTGTATTGTCGTGACATGTGAGGCAAAAAGCTAGCATGTCATTTTAAACAAGACTTACACAATAATTCAGCGAAGGGAATAATGGCAATTCTTGATGACGATTTGAAAATCAATTTTGTTGGATATAAGCCCTATTCGTTTTTAAATATATTTGTTTGTACTTTGCTAGAAATACAACAAATTACACTAAAAAAAATAACAAATCAGCATTATTGAGGGCCAATAATGGGCGTCATCATCGTTTTTTATCCGGGAGGGGGGCAAAGCAAATGTTCCCCTAAATTCCTTAACTTTTCCATTGTATTCTCAATCTTTACTTTTCCCGAGCGTGAGCAGGGGAGCATTTTCCCTCCCCCTCGTCAAATTAACAGCAATATGGCTTCGCACTTTTTTCCCCCTTCCCCCCCCCCCAGGGGGGGGGGGGCAAGTTCCCCCTTGCCCCCCCCCCCTCTCCTAGCGACGCCCATGGGGCCAAACCTTAACTTTATTTAAGCATAACCATGATTTACCACTGTTGGTAATTGCCCGTTAATCGATTGAGCCTTATATTCACTCAAAAAAATAGTTGCTCAATATTGGGTAAAATTACTACCTTTTCGAGAGTAAAAAGGGAACATGGTCGTCAACTTGTGTAGTTTTTTACACAACAGCTAAAGTGTAAACAAGTACCAATTTCAGTGTAACTTTTACCCATAATTGTGTTACGTGTTTGCACAACAAAGCTGGGTAAAAAAGTTTACCCATGTGACGACCATGTTCCCTTTTTACTCAATTATTGGGTAAACTTTACCCAACCCTCCTTTTACCCAAGTGTTGTGTCAGTTTCTTACCCAGATATTGGGTTCTAATTTTTACCCTGCACTGTTGGGTTCTAAACTTACCAATCACTTGGGTTGTTTTAAAATTAGTTGTTGTGTACCTTTGCTATTGACCCTTGCGGTTTTATTCAATTTTGTACTGCGGCAATGTGAATTGCATTCTAGAGACAGCAATCGCGAGGGATTTCAATAACTGAGTCCTGGGTTGGAAAGTCAGTAAAATGACTAAGATGATATTTTTTAAATATGGTGCTGATGCATGAGGACTATTACGAGGAACGTGGGCTAAATGATGGGCAGGGGTGTAAGAATTTCCCTCAATCAACTCATTCAAAAACAATTCCCAAACATCGGTCACTTTACTGCGTGTTTCTAGATCGGAAAACACTCACTATACGGTACATGAAACGCATGCATCATGTTCATGCATGGAAACGTGGTTGGCAGAGCCGTGACCTCCAAGTTGCAAATAATGCCTAAATAATAAGCATGTCACTTCTCCAATCTCCCCGATATTAATCCTCATACATCAGCATCGCATTTGGAGGAAACAACACTGAATTCATTTCACTGACTAACCTGGAACAAAGAAATCACGTCTTCAAAATCAACAAATTGTTGAAGGTCTCACAAGCGGCGGCCATCTTGTACATGTACATGAGTGATACGCGTGCACAATATTGGGTAAATGTTGTCACGTGCGTCAGTTTACCCGCACCGTGGTAACATTTAACTAATGTTGTGGTAAATTCTACTCTTCGACGTGTACAATAAAAGAATTATTACACAGTGGTGGGGTAAATCCAGTTTCTTTAACACATCACTTGGGTAATAAGACTATGATTTTAACTTTTTGCATGTGCTGCTGGGACTCGTGGTCACCGTTGGGTATTATTTTACCCTTTAATGTGTAACACATTTGACACAAGTAGGAGGCACAAGCGAAATGTTCATTTTGCTCAATATTGAGCAGAAATGACACATTTTTTTTACACAACAGTTTTACGCAACATAACTTTACACTTATTCTTTACTAGGTACGCAAGTGAAGGAGTTGACACCATCGACGCAGTGGTACCCGATAGGGCATGTAACGGTAGCACACTCATCATCGTCTGTATCGGGAAAACAAAGCGGAATTCCTTTAAAACCATTGCTCATTTTTATAATATTCAGAAGAACCTGAAACGTTTGCCGTTTTGTGATACAATGTAAATGACTGGCGTGAAAACTGAATGAATGTATGGATATAAGGAATACTATGATGTACATTTTATCAAATTTTGAGCATAAGTGGACTGTAGGTTTTGGAAATAATGTGACGTAGTATGTGAACACCTGGCAGAATTGGGCAAATTGACATGGGTAATTTGCATTTGGAATTGTGTGACCCTTCTTATTCTTTATAAATTTCTATAAAAGTTTTAAACTGAAATGTCATAGACAAAATGCATTTTAAAAACATTTTTAGAGACGGATGTCGAAGTGTTGCTTTGTTCAAGTTTTGTTATGAAATGACGTGGCGTTTGCAATAACGCAAATCGATTTCTTGCCAAAAAAGTACCTTATTTTGAAAGTACCTTATTTATAAATTATATATTTGAATAAATATTAACATGAGTAAAATGACACTGTGGGCAAACGAATAAATAAAAACGTGTCTGATGATCCAAAATCGCTTCCTAAACTATTGTAATTATGTGTGTTTTTTACGGATCCGTACCTGGTGGGACTGCTTATACGGTCGCAGGATATCGAGATCAGCGATTGGTACATACCTCTGAAGTACAAACGCAGACTGTTTGACGGTATTGGCTCTTGGCAGTCGATGTCATACAGCAGATCCACACCATACACGTTTTCTGAACCGGGGGTGTGACCGTCGAAGCACATGCCGTGGCCGAGACTCAGTGACGTGTAACAGTCACAATTGTCGTCGTCAATCTGGAGAGACTTGACTCCGTGCTCCTCGCGATAGTGGAAACTGTCTTGTCTTTTTATAGGTGCCAGTCCTGAAAAGTTGAAGCCCCAACAATAATAAGCTCCCGTTATTTGTCTTCCTATTTTAGACGTATAGGCATATCATAGAAAGAGTTCAACATAAAGTTAAATAGACATAACTAAAAATGTTTCAATATTTGTTGAGTATTCACGAAGCGACCCCTAAGCTGGCGTCACCAATTTCTCTCGGATTTGAGTGCAAAGGCTGTCTACCACACTACAAAGTAATTTTATGGACATAAACTGACTCTTTTTATGCAAGTGGGGCGGTGTGAGGAGTCTAGCTAGGAGCAAACCTCTGTGTACTTCCCTGGCATGGCCAATCTCGTCTCTAGGGCTTACTTTATTTACAACCTCCTTTCCAATATAGTAAGCCATGTGATGGGATTTTGCTTCTTGTCCTGATTCGATAGCGCAATTGGTAGGTAATGAATAATAAATGGTGTACTTGGTGTTGATATTTCCAACGTGTATTACGTGTTTTCACGTTCATTGCTTATATTAATATGAAATTGTGACTCTGCATATTGGCTGGATAACATTTCAACTTGTGGATATGCAAATGAGCCAATACCAGGTTGAGAGATCAGGAAGACAGTGGTGGGAGCGTACTGCGCATGACAGCCTGAACGAATTTGGTGCGTGGCGATGGCACTTACGGCGTGGCTAGTTTTACTTCCCTGACGTATTGGAACACTGACCGATGGAACAAGTGAGTAAATCATGTATTTCTAAATACCGGTACACGTATTTTATAAAGGTGTATAACGCAATGCGTCTTTGAAGTGGTTCGCCGCATCGGTCATAGTCTGGTTCCCTGTCCCCATTGTCATTTGGACTTCAAATATGGGGACAGGTAGCTAGCGGTGAATCTGGCATTCAACGGCAGGAGGCATATCCCTTTCGATGTGTGCAAATTGTATGCATAGGTCTGAATAGCCTTGTTCCAGGCGGTCTCTCGGCTTTTTGTCGAAGGGAGATAATCGGGCCCTGCACCCACAATCAATGCAGCTACGTGCGTGCACCACCGACCCTTGTCCGTACGAACGGTTCGGTACTAACACAACCAGCAAGCACACACACGTGAGTACGGACTGTACGCATGGTGTAATAAGGCAGTAAATGTAGGCCTACTGTGTTCTGCGTGTGGGTGTACGTACGTCGTCCGTACGTGTGGGGGATATACGCGCCGCGTGGCCTGTCGTTACGCGGACTAGCTCATGCATGTACTGTGTGTGCATGGCTGTTGTACGAGTACGTGTGTGTACGTGCGTACGTACAAGCATAGCCTTGCTGTATGGTACAAGTGACTTTCTCACTAGCAGCGTACGGGCATCGATATGTGCACGCAATTATGCCTTGCCAAGTTGATTAGGGATTTTCTTATCGGCGATTTCTTTTATCGGCGAATCGATCAGCCCAACGCCTTGGTCAAGGCTAAGGTCTGAAGCCCGCATCGTGATTTTATATAAATCACGACGGTAATGGTTGCGCGCAACCAGCCTATTGCAAAATGGGAATAAGCCGCGCCACAAAATGTGCAATTTCCGAGGTGATGAGCCTCGATTTTTGCTGGTATCTCTGGCAGATTCAATAAGGAGAGGGACATCATTCTGTTCAGTATTTAAAACCTATATGTTGATATGCTTGAAAGTTGCCTTTGTGAAAACACCGACGATTTTGCATACTTTATGTGGTAAGAAAAAAGTGAGTTTTGATAATCTGTGTTCAATCACCGTCCATGCACAACGCTACAGCGATTCAAAAATAAACAAACAAGAAAAAAATAACGGCATTTGTCACCAAATTCTGAGCGATAACAGTGAAGCACCGTCCCATATTTTCCAGCCTTATTTATTCTTGTCTGAGAAATCTCAACCACCAAATTAATGTTCATTTAAATTGCCCGTGCAAAATGTAGGAATATGATAAATATTATGTTGGATGAGACATTGTGCACGTGTCGAAAGGTCACTATTGGATACGATCCTACGTGACGTCACACCTCTACAACGTTTACTTACCAGCCACAGTAACCGGACTCCATTCGTTTCCATCTGTGACCTTGGTTTCCTGGTGATCGTGGAATGCCTGCCACACAGCGTGTGCTACGTCATTACTAGGATTGAACGTCCACCTTGTGGAAAATAAAGTCATACATCGCACTGAATATATCACAGACGTAAAGTTTGCAAATGTAGCACATTACCATTATCATTTTTGACATTCGACAGACACAGTCGGAGTGCGCTATAGTATTTGGCTTGGGAAAATTTCGATAAGGTTGCAGGCCATAAATAGGCCCGAAATTGGCTATGCCAGCCAAATTACGATTATAGCATGCCTTCAAAGTGTTCCGCTATTGGAGCATTTTCCCTCGATTCAGACAAAAGCTTCGACATTGGTTTTCTAAGTATATTAACTTTAATTTTTCTTAGGTAACTCAAATGCAATTAGGTACGTATACCCATTTAAGGATTAAATATTGAGATTTGTTTTGTTTTTTACTGGGTTTTTTTTGCATACAGGGTGGTTCAAAAAAAGGACACCCACTTTTGACAGCATTTTTCACCTACTTAATGAACTTATTTTAAATATGTTTTCACATAGTAGTAAAGTATAGACCTTTAACCATGCATGGTGAAAAAAGCTTAGTTAAAGTCGCAACGATAGTGATTTTATGCTAATTTGAATATAAGTCACCAAAATCAGTCTTGTCCACGGGTATTCTATGTAAATTGGACGTTTTCGTAGTTCATAAAAATTAATAAACCCTCCCACCAAAATACATTTTGCCCTGGTAACTTTGATTGAAGCTGTCCAATTATTCGTGTCAGTGTTAAGATCATCTACTCAATGAGATGTCGGCTTAAGTTCATTGTTGCATAACATTACATAACATAACAATCAAATGTCGTGCCCTTTCAAATAAAGCTCCGATAGCTGAGCTCAGTCAAGCGAAGGGAATGTATACCGCCGTGGACAAACAGGTTTCGCACATGAAATGTTCAAATTAGCATAGCTCAACGACAAAAAGTGCAAATGCAACGATTTTTTCGTCACATTTGCTTAAAGGCCAGTGCTTTATTAGCTACTTATCGACAGTTAAAAATAATTTTTAAAATAGGTGAAAATTGCTGTCAAATGTGGGTGTCCTTTTTTTAACCACCCTGTATAAATGTTGCGTTGTTGAACCTTACCTGTACACGTTCCCAGCTGAATCTATGCCCAGCATCTCTGACGAGGATTCCTGCAGTTCTCCAGGCAGCCGACTGAAACAATAGGGGGCGCTAGACTCACAGTCGCCATATTCATCTTTAATTAAAAAAAAAATGTGACAGTAAAACGTAGAAAGAGGGTGTAACCGAAGCACAAGGTCAAATGTGGTTCAACTTGTTCTGAAATGTGATTCGAGTTGTTCAAATAAGCGATATGTTCTGTGACTTAAAATAACGACTTTGCGCATACGCACGCGGCCATTAAAACCTGGACATGACATGGGCAAGGACATGGACTTGCAACGACCTGGATTTGGACATAGACATACCGGAGTCTTATATAGCGCATTATTTAGGAACAAATAGGCACTCAAGGCGCTGGCGATTGTGTGTATTTTTTAAGACAGGTAAATGCAGTTTTAATAAGAGAAATATCACGGAGACCCATTATGAACATGGACATGGACAGGAACATGGACATAACGTGGTATGGACCTGGACATCGATGGACAGCAACAGTGGATATGCACATATGGGCATGCATGAGCATGGACATGGGCGCATGGTCTAGCCAGACGGAATTGTGGTATGGACATGGGAATGGACATAGGCATAGACATGGACACAGACATATGGGCATGCAAGGGTACGGGTATGGACATGGACATGGACATGGACATGGACATAGACATAGGCATGGGAGTGGGAGAGGACAGCGACTTGGACATGTGCATGGAGATGGACATGAAGATGGACATGACAATGGACATGGTCAAGGAGATGGATAATGACATGGATAAAGGTAATTCATGGTCATGGACATGGACATAGACATAAATATGGATATGGACATGAACATGAAAATGGACATGGGCATTAACACAGACATGTAGGCTACATTGGCATATGGATATGTAACAGAAGTTTACCTTGCAATACATCATTGACAACGTCTTTACCCGGCCAAACGGTACCAGTCCACCACCAGAACAATCTCCAACGTGCTCCATGCTCGTTGATCACAGGGTAATCCGAAGATGCTATCGACATAAATATTGTTTTTCAGTGAAAAGTTCTTTTACAGATTTCAAACGTAGTTCCAAACTCTCAATTGTACCCATACACTCGGTTTCATGTTTATTGTCTGTGCCACGTTCAGACACAGTATGAAAGCTTTTTATCAAGTGTAAATTGTAGAAAATGACTTACGGATGTTAAGTCTAAAGACAGGACAGTTACACACTTCACTCTCTTGTTTTTCAAAACGTGTCCCAGAAAAAGGACTCATATCCGTGAAGATATAAACCTCACTTCTTTACCATATATTCTTTTTTGGCACTAAAGAGTTTTTGTGCTATGCAAAAAATTGTATACTTGTCTACAGACTAGACATTACAGACAAAAAGTAGGTGCAAGAAAGTGTTCCAAAACTCGACACATCTGTTTACAACATCATCGGACGGCAAACGCCTTTAAGTATGAAAAAAGGACACCATAATTTGTGTGCAATCTAAAAAGAAGAAATATGCTGGTCAGATATGACACGTAATCTGGGTTCCTTTTGGTTAGTCCTTTTTAGGGTCTTAATGACATTTTCCGGATGAAAAAAATGATGACACTGCTTTTGATCATTTTCCGGATCATTTAACAGGGAAACCTTGGAACTTTTTCCAACCAGAAGTGCCTGGAAAGAGTTAGGCAAAATGGAACCCGGGATCCGATGTCATGACACTTGGAACATCACGATAACGTCAACATGGGTCAAGTGACATTATCTTAATTGCGCATGATTTAAAGTTGTACACCTTCAAAGCAAATTGGATTGACCGTTCGACAATACATAGTCAGGTATGTGTTATAGGTGAACATTGAAATTACGTCATGAGGAGGTCAACAGGTGAATTTTCATTCCACAATGTTGTAAAAAGGAACGTCAAATTAAAAAAAATACTTTGAAATAAAGCTTTACAATGGAATAGAGTAGTTTTTGTTTTTTGTACAGTTGTAGACATTGTCTCAAGTAATAGTCTGATTCTCAAGCACAGAGCCATTTGACCTTTACTTCTGGTGTTACCGGAAGTGCAATGAGAATTGAATATAACTTGAAAACGGGAATATTTTACAATAGTTATATCAATTATGCAAATAATCTATGTGGAATGTCAAACACAAAGTTGGCAAAATGATGTCATTAGCCGAGAAGGCTCCCTCTCGCGGCACGCCAAAGATAGTTAAAACTGTTGAATTTAAAATCATTCCTCACAATTTTACCAAATTGCCTCTACTTATTCTTGTATAGTACAGCACATAAGTGATGGGATTGTGCCTATTATACAAGCATGGCATTTGGCACACATTCAGAGTATATCATAAGAAGTATAGTTGGCTATAGAGCCATCGCAGATTTGTCCTTTAAAAAAAAAATAGCTAGAAAAAAAAGCAATGCAGCCATTTTGAAAATATTGAAAATTGCTTGTTATTCTACCTATATTTTTCCTTATACTTATATTCACGAATAAAAATTGGGCAATGTCCCACGATCATGGGCGTCGAGAGGTGGGGGGGGGGGGGCAAGGCAGGGCAATTCTCCCCCCCCCCCCTGAAAAAGCCACACACACAAAACAGAAGAAAAAAAGAGGCTTTGTGGTTTGAATTTTATGGGTTGGGGGGCAAATTTGTCCCTGCCCCCCTCTAAAACTGATAAATCGAGAATTTGTTGAGAAACACTGGAATTCTTTTGGCAAAAATATGCCCCCTCCTAGAAAATTCCTGGCGACACCCATGCCTATAGATATAGTTGTCTGCCCGATCACCCAGCGTTTGTTACCGAACAGGGTCCCCCCCCCCCAAAAAAAAGGCAAAAACATTTGCCTTTAGAAAAAGGGATCGATGAATTTTCAGATTCAAGCTGAGAGCTTTTGCTTTCACACACTGTAAACATTTTATATATACATGAGAGTAGGCCTACATGTATTTAATTCAAAACAATGTGATACAAACTCCTACTAAAATTGCAATTAACCTATCGCGGTAGAGTCGCGTCAACGCAGTTTGTGAAGTATTATCCAATTACATGATATACAAATGGACGAGGAACGCGCAAAATCCCAAACAAAACTTAATGTACAAACAGTCCATATGGTTGTGTAAGGGGCGGTAGGTCAATTGCAATGAGCACTGGATATTACCACATTTTGATGAGAAATCCCAAATTTATGGAATGACCCGCATTTGAACATTTCGTCTCAAAATGTTTCTATAGAGTTGGGTTTTTTTATCAAATGATGTTTCGGCCAACTAGTATTCCTCCCGGGTGGACTGCCATTCTATTTATTTTCTCGTGATATGTCTTAAATATATAATACGCTTCATTAGAATGCCCCGAATTACTATTTTCGAACCAACCAGGACTAGCTGCAGATGTGTGAGTGAGCAACCACGAGGTCGCAGGTTCGAATCCAAAGCAAGCAAGCTTGCGATAAGCTTTTCGTGCAAGTTCTCTGGAAGCACTGTCAGTGTATAGAGCTTATAAAGATACGTAGGTGCGGGTCAAAACCAACAGTTATTTTGTTTTTACACAGCTTGAAATTTAATATAGTCTTTCTTGGCAAATGATGCTCAAATTCAATTCATCCATGACCCTTTTTGCAAATCAGTGCTTAATTACAATTGTAGACGTTGGGATAATATTGGCTACTCAAAATTGACCTTTTTGCAATTTTAAACATACGAGGTATATTCTTCTGGAGACTTACCAGTGCAGTTTAGAAATTGCATATTAAAATATATGATGAAAATATAATGTTATTCCTCGAGTAGCTTACCGGTACCAGTCTGGGTGCAGTTCAGAAATGTTCCGATCTCCATTGGATCGCTGCTTCGCAAGAAGGTGTCATAGTAGGTCACATTGAAGGGTCTGCTGGGTGCTCGGGTGTTGAGTGAACCCACGTGTACCTCCTTGCACTGACAGGGGTTCTTTACAGGGATCACCCAGCGGTACCTACCGCTGAAGGGGTCCGGCTCCTGGCCCATGTAGCAGGACATCGCTATGCCAAAACAGAGAGTACGAGATACATTCTTATTGGACCTGATGGTTTGTTGAAACCATGATTTTCAAGACAACTTTCACAGCGGGAAAATCAAATGCACGGAGTTGGCCTATGGGGGATTGGGTTGGTAAAAGACGACACCCTTATTTTCCACGCCACATACAATTTTTTAGTCACACAAAATAATACACTTCATCATTGCATTGTGCAGCAAAGTTTCTCAGTTATCGGTTTTGCATTTACGTTTTCTATGTTCGTTTCCAAAACAAACAGTTTCGAGTAACATGAAACATACTACCCGCATCGTGGCCGCATGCATTCGATCATACAGGTCCATTCTGTAGAATCCTTTAAAAAATAACACCGGTATATAATTCAGTAAAGAAATTTTAACTGCTTCAGTTTTCTCTGGCGTCGAGGACATCATATAGTTGTTTAAAAATTACTATGCACTAGAAAACAACAGTTATTATTACAGTAATAATGTGTTATGTTGTTACGCATTTTTGACGATTCGGTTGGTCCTTTAAAAAAAAAATGATATCGCAGGTTCCGCATAAATCCACTTTAATTTCCTCGTCAGCAACCTATTAAATTAAACCGTGTTTTCCCATTTTTTCCGCAAACTCATTAAACGTTTGAAAATAGTGCTACTTTGTCAGAATGTTTCTTGTTTTCTTCCGGTAATCTATACATCTTTACAATATTATCTCAAGTTGGAGTTTACATCCCCGTTTAGAGAGATGATATTAAGTGTCGCGGAATGAATCATTCGTTATGCGTTACAACGCGTGATTGACCTCTCATTCTTACCTGTTGTTCCATGCAAAAGCTGGGCAGTATACACCAATAACACCAAACCTCCATATTGTAAGGTCCGCATTTTGGTGTATTCTTGATACACGGAGCGGACTCGATCTAATACGTTTTGATCTAGAACTCTGGCCCTAGTCACTCTTGCCGTCTCCACTGTCGATTTGGCACTAGTGGCTTGGTTCAAACTAGTCTTTGCCCAAGACGCTAGTCATCGATAGTGGACGGTGCACTGTGCGCCCTCTAATGGCACAACAATAAGACCAGGCCTACTCGCACTAACGTCTTGGCCATTTCGTTACTGCGGTTTACCTTTTTGTTTATTTTCTCCCGAGGCTTTCCTGCTGAACCAATCAGCGATCGAGAAATAATCAATGGCTCGCCCGATCCGACAGTTGTAAACATACGGGCTATAACTATACGTGTGGTGACCCCAGCATCGTTTCGCCTTCCTAGGGAACCAATCAGCAGTCGAGGAATGTTCAATGCCCCTCCCCAAGACGCTTGTAAACATTCGAGACGCAGTGATACCCCGCCCAAGGGCGCGACTTCTGCGGCAAATGGGAACTGCCGTTTTATTCGAATTTAAGACGGTCCTATACATAAAATGACCACGCCCCCAGTGCTACAAAATGACCAACACGTTAGTGAGAGAACGTAAAAAAATCAGTCAGGCAAGGGCGCTACAGAACATTGCAAAAAGAAAAAGAGGCGCGAAATCATATTGTTGTTAATTTAATGGGTGGGGGCAAATGTCCCTGCCCACCCTCGAAAACAGGATCAATCGTGAAAATATAGGGATTTGAGGGGGGGGGGGTGGAGCGGTGTGCTTTGCCCCCTCTATGAAACAATTCTGGCGACGCCCATGCCCCTTTGGCAAGGGTTGCAGCTTTAAAGTCTAACTGAATAAATACCACATACATCCACTTAATATCTTTTCTATGCAGGAAGCGCTTTGATGCACTGAATTGAGCTTGCAATTTTATAATACTGAAACAGTCGTTGCATAGCTGCAGCAGCACACGGTATTGTTACGGAGACCACACTATAGCTCTATGGTTCCGCCCGAGATACCACGAAAGTGCCGGGGTCAATATGGAAGCCTTCGCTTGCATTGTTCAACCGTTACCATGGTAATCACTGCTGTCAAAAAAAGGTAACAGTTTTGAGCAGCAATGTTCGTGGGCCACAAGAATTTTATAATGTCTTTATCTAAAGGAATATAGGATCATTTGCATTTAATCCCAAAAGCAACCAGACCGAATTATTATCACAAAAAAACTTACTTTGATTAGGCCTAAAGATCGTACGGTTACTAAAACACCGTGAAGTTATTCCGTCTAGCTTGCTGCCATTAAGAAGAACCATGCATAATGGTGATTTCCAACGATCATTGACTGATTTTCGACAGGTTTGAATAATTTCCTTCATTTGATTGGTGGAACGTTAATCAACTGTCATTGATTATTATTCGTCCAAACGCACGGCGCAGCCGCAACGCAAAAATAGAGCTGAAGTTATATTCCATGGTAAACTTCCATTGCACGGTACCCGGTCACACTATTGACGAAATCGTATTTCGTAATGATACGGTTGCTCATGCTTTTTTTCACTATTTCCTGAAAAACTGCAATAGCCAATGACCTGAAACGTCAACAGGTTAAGTTTTGAACATTCTTCTTTGGATTTTGAGTGGTGCTATTATTGATAACGAACAAAAAGTAGGAACAGGGTGACCGTTTTACCCGATTTTCGGCTAACTGTGACAGATTCTTAGTTAAAAAACGAGTTTGACAGAAAATTTGACAGAATGAAAAAAAAATGGTACATTTGTTTAAAAAAAAAATTCAATCTTTTCAAACAAACCCTTGTCTGGTCTAGGCGCTGAGGTTCACTGGGAACCGGACTTCACGCCGCAACCGTGTTTTCCCTGAAATTTACGCTAAATTTCATAACATTTTTATGTGACTATAAATTGTTAATAATGCAATTTGAACCTTAAACAAGGCAATACTACAAATCTGCATGTGATTTTAAGGGTTTCTAGTGTATTTCGAGGAAATCTGGGGAATTTGGCAGATTTTTGATAAATCTGACAGATTTTTGAAGCGCATGTAGCAGAATTTTGCAATGACCTTACGGTAACCCTGAGTATATGAGACGAAAATTATCCTAAGACCGAAGTAATTACGTGCTGTCGTGACCTTTAGGCGATTGGAGCCTACATGCATCAAAAAGAGCTGAACTATGACAACCTGAATTATTAGCCATAAAGAGATATTGTGATATTCAAGGCGAAAGCTTCCATTGTTTATTACACGTTATGCTTGGTTAACTTACGCTAATGGTTCACCCATTATTATTATTATATTGCAATGACTATTAGCTGGGACGGTATACACCGCGCGCTATCAATATTGATATATAAATATTGATATTTAAGGATGCTTGGTGATAGTCTGGTTCCCAGACCAAAAGATTCTAACTATTCCTGATGAATATTAATTTAGACGGGGGAAATTGTCAGGTCAGGGAACCAGACTAGCTTGGTGACAACATCGTTCTTGCATCTATATTTATAAACTCTCAACCTCGAAACAAAAAAATCGACACTGGGAGGGTATTACTGACGTGTGTACATTATAACGCGTTTAGACATTTTAGGTGAATAATTACCCTCCTCAAAAACAACCCTGCCTTTTTTCATTTTGCTTAGAATCTTATTTTACTGCACTACTCCATGGTTGATGAATAACATTACAACATGTAGACCTTGAAAACCATGACGATTTTACGTCATGACGAATTGATTTCGTATACCCTGGACACCGCAAAAACAAACAATGATTTATTCTATGCCTTATTTCCCGACCCCCCCCCCCCCAAAAAAAACCCCTGTTTTATTTACTCTCGAACCCCCACTAACAAGGGCGTAAATCTGGGGGGGGGGGATATGATTAAATTCCTCTCCCTCCAACCTTTAGGCCGGGGAGGGGCCATGGATCATCCCCCTTAATTTTTGTAGTGAGAAAATATACACAGAAAAAATCAGGATTTTCTACTTTTCCAATGGCCCAATTATAACACAGAAAAAAGGAAACCAAACAGTACGAAAGCTTTAAATGCACTATCTTGAAGGTAAGCGCACCAGTTTGCTTAAGATGCACATTTGAATCATGAACAGCGCCCCTATTACTTCCTTATTTTCAATCGCCCATCTTTTATCACGGAAATTTTTTTTGCTGAACTAAAAAGTAAACATTTAATGATTGTTTTCTTAGCTATGCGTATGTTGTATGTATAATTATAAATAATGACATCAACAGATGTCAGCCTAGGAAATATGCTGCCCCCCTAAATCAGGGGCGTGAATGAAAAGGCAGGCCTGCTGTATAACGCGTGGTCGGCCGGTAAGCTAGATCAACACGCATACCTGAGCTGCTTTTTTTGATAATAGTGGGACTGGGAGGCAGTCTAATCGATTGTGAGAAACTTTCGGCCAATAGGACACAACCATTTCTGTCACGTCAACAATGAAGGTCATGTGACGCGCGCACGCGCGCGTGCAGTGGAGCCGGGCAACGTAAAACGTAAACAGACTTTTCAGAAACAAGAAAAACGTCAATGTTCACGGACTGCCTTCATAAAATTTGAGCGACAAATCATACTTTCGGAAGCGAAATTCCACTGATATTTGCAGCACAAGGTCTTCACTAGTCTAGACCGTGAGATAAACATGCCGCAGGACGTGAGTGGACGAATTCCTATGCCGACGCTGGACCCCAGCACGGGGGAAAAACTCAACGTGAGATTGAGAATGGTCGGCAAGCGAGGAACTAACATAAGTCAACGTGTTGCAGTCCTCGACCGCCCAACGAAACCCCAGCTGAAATTGGACGGTAAGCAAAAAATAGTTGTGGCGGTTTTTTTTCTCTTTAATCTTCCTTTAAAAGAAAACTGCAATACAAATAGATCAGAAATTCCCGCAGCACAAAAAGAGGTGTCCTAAACTACACAATTTAAATAGAACAAGCGGGGCACACTAGCAGCAGTGTTCCCTAACGTGGCGCACTCCGTGTCGCTCAACTTTCCTCATGCAGTAGTTGCCAAACCTCTTTGATGAAAAATGTCATGACACTCAACCTCTTTGATAAAAAAACTTCTATTCATAAATACTGGTAGGCCTACTAAGTTACTATTATATTATCTAAATAATCCTTGTTGATGAACCTTTGTGAAAAATTTCAGTGTCATGAAATTTAGTCCAAAATTCAAAGATAATAAATTCTGATAAATTATTATCTCCACTCACATACCGTTCTACAACTAAAGTACTAGGCCTAGTTCGTCAGAAAATTATGTACTTATTTTGGGCGCATTTTTATAAGGGTTTATTGTACACCAATTTTGTAGCGGCTACCCGAACTCAAGATTTATGAACGACGAACGTGAATATTTTGAGCTTGGTGAAATTTCAGTGTGAAATTTGAGGTAAAATTGTTGTTCGAGCAAAGCACTAGTCTAGAAGCGAAAGTCCAAAGTGCGCAACGTAGGGGCCGCGCCATGTTAGGGGCCGTGCCACGTTAGATTACATCAACAATAATTTCGTGAGAAAAACCTTTGTCGCTATATAATAATAGGCACACTATTATGCGAAAGGCCCAAGGCCTTGAAATTAGATTTAACTTTTGAAGTCAGATTTATCTTATGAACATGATTTATGAAAAAAGTACATTTCAAAAGAAAAAGTTATTTTGATGAGTTGGCCTGCAAATGTGACTAAGTTTGCAAAGCCTTGGTTTATTCCAAGTTGAAGCATCGATTTTCGGCCGATTTTAAATAGCTTTCGTAAAATTCAATTTTTGAAAACACTCACACTTTGAAAATCCACGAAGTTTACTCTGACGTTATTTTGACTACAGCTCAAAATGTACTATTTGATTTAGCTATAAATAAGCATAATGTCTTTGCTCATGATTCTAGAAAACGTCCAGAGTTTCCTGCCATCGCTGAAACCGAAGGCCAAAGCCAAGGGGCTCATCGTCACATCCCGTACGCCTTCCCCAAGCACAGCCGTGCTAGTCCCACATCCACCGGCCATGCACACCCGCAGCAAGGGTATGGATGACGCCTCGAGCCATGCCGGCTACAACCTCCGCCTGCGTCGGGTCTCCGTGAGGGGCAAGCCGGAGAATCTGCCATCGATTTTCGAAACTGCCGACGAACCGTCTGGCCGTCACCCCTCCTTCAAAGCCAAGAAGGAGAGGCTGAAGTCTTCCAGGCACCGCGGGGCAGCAGCCAGAGAGAAGAAGACAAAGCAGAGAGGCCAGGCTGCCAACAAGCTGCCCGACATCAACGGTCACAACAAAGGGCAGAGGCCGACTGCACCAAAGATGGACGCCTGGGCTCCTGTCAGTGAACAATACCGTGAATTAACTAAGGTATACTGGCTTTTTCCGCATTTGAGAATCCACATGCAAAAAGTATGCATAAAAGCAGTTTAATGATAGAGGAGGCATTTATGCCCGACTAAATAGTCAGTTTCTAGGGTATAAATGGTCAAACATTATATTAATGCACCATTCCTCTGTTTGCTTTTGGTTAATTGGACTGATTTACTATTGGCAAAGTTCTGATATTCATGAACAGTGCAATGTGGACTGCTTGTCAGATTTTTTTAACAAATTTGAATTTGGAGAAATGGAAAAAGAAGAAGAATTGTTCTTATACCTTTACTTCTTCTTGAACCCCATTTGTAACTGATCTAATCTGGAGAAAATCACGTGCCGCTCATATGAAGTCCAATTCTAAGTCAGGTGACATGTAGAGAAGAACAACTGTCACAATTCATTCAACGCAATAGATTGTAACTTGACTTGAAACCCGATAACTTATGATTGACTTGTGATTTTATTGTCTTTCAACAACAAGGTCATCAACCACTTGAGGACGACAAGAGAACATGCAATCAACTGTTCAACTGTTGTGATTGTCAGCTATATTTGCACAACTTTCCACAACTCATTGCACAATTTATACATAAAGCAACATTTAACAAGCTGCAACTTTGGATAAAACATTTGCTTGTCTTTCATTGCAGATTGACAATGACTTACTGTGGTACGCTGACACTGCTGCCGATCACAACAAGGACCGTCTGGAGCTCCCTGCCATAAAGGGGGCGGAGACCATCCTCCCCCAGCAGCTCGTGCCGCAAACTTTCTCCGAAGAGAGACTCCCAGATATGCCGAGGATGACCTGCCGCCAAGAGCGTCATAACAGCAAAAGGTTCCACGCCCGCAGTCCCGGGCAACAGATAATGTGGGCAAGGAAATGCTTCGACGACAAACAGCACTGAAGTTCAGTATCTCTTCAAAAATTTTCATTTTACTTCCATTTGTGTCCAAACATAATCTCCACGTTTCTGGTGCTAATATCCATTCGATCATGTATACTAAGTAGCTATAGGCAAAATCCAGGTATCATATCAAAACTGGTCCCAATCATGAGCAATGTGATTTTTACAAAAAATAAAATCATCCTTCGAATCAGTCTTCAAAATGACACAGTTCGGTCCAAAAAAGATCAGAACTTATGAAATTTGAAATGGTGTATGTGAGGCATGTACGCCATAGCTGAAGGCCAGGCCCAGATACTTATCTGGTTTGCCATTGTCAGATTCCGTAGAACTGCACTGTGCAAGACAAGACCGCAATGCAAGATTCCATCAGAACATGAGCAGAATCAACAAAAGATATCAAACTCTGTCCAATGATTGGATATGACAGTTAGTACCTCATTTTTCTTTAAGACCCAGCCTGGTTACATACCAACAGAGATTCCTTGTTTTGCCTGTTTTATCATTACTAAATCTTTGACCACAATTTGGAGGTGTTGCATTTGTTGAAGACCAAGCATCATTCAAGAAATTGTTAACCTATGTTCAGGATCTGCCTGTTCAACCATTCTAGGATACTGGTTCGGTCCTTAAGGTGTGGGGGGGGGGGGGGGGGGTTCATGGGATGGGGGGGGGGGAGTTGGTCAAATTGAGTGGAATACATTCATCACACACTCTTTGCTACTTGAGATATTCCTTTTGGGTTGTAATCCTCTATAGCTCCATACATCCCCTGGCAGTTTAATGCTTGGTTCTGTGTGCATCTTTCATCTTAAATGCACAGCCTTTAGAGCCCTTTCTTGAGGTCATTTGACTCGGCAGATATCGTATGCAGTGTTGCAGTGGTAATTTTCATGCGCATAATATACACACACATTCACAGCACTCACATTGGTTAAAGGTTTAAAAAAAAAAAATAAGCAAAAACACTACAGTAAACCCATTTAGGTGACTTAACATTTGATCTCAAACATAAATCTTTCCCTTTATCTGACTTTTTGCTGACGAATTCTAAAAAAAAAAGGGGGGGGGTTGGCAGATATGATTTTGGTATTTGTGATGTGGAAGTGATTATGCGTGTTCTCATTTCTTCTTTCAATCCAACCTTTCCCAAAATAAGACCCAAATAAATCACCTGAAAAACTACACAAGACTGGCTTACAGTCTTTCCCTCTTTCCAACAAGTAAAAACACACATCACTTTCAAAATGTCTTCTGGCTTTTACAATCTACTTGGAATCCTTTTTGAAGGATATGGCATTTATTGCCAGGATGCAAACACCTGAGTCCAAGTTCATAACTCTAATCTTAACTCCGGTAGAGTTGCAGGTTGTTCTTGTCTCCAGAAATGTCAACTCTTGCAGCACAGGCTGAGGTTTGGTTACAGTTGGTGGCAGGGGGGAACATCTGATGCTAGATCATTGGGGCTTGTTCTTTGGCAATTTGCTACAGCTGCAGGGGAAACATCTTCCCATCACACTGTGAGCCTTGGTCATCAATAACCTTTTTTTTTCCACTACAAGTGTGTTACACAGTCTATTCCATCAGTATAAACTGACATCACAATCACACCATTAAGAAAACACACACATCAGTTGCTCACTGTTAGTATGACTAGTCAAACTACAGGAATCATAGTCTCTTATATGGCTCCACCAGAACATTGAGTTACACAACCTTTTACTGACAAGTGGATAGGCAATGTCACATTGAACCTGATTGGCACAGGAGATACTTCTTCGTGATTTTGTTTTGTTGTGCTTGTTTTGTTCTGTTTAGTTCTGTCCACTTCGTTTCATTTTTTTTCATGGTTTTTAGCTCTCCAGATAATAACAGGTTTCCCCCAGTTCTTTTGAGGTCTTTTTGAATTACATGTACCGGTATCAATGATTCACCTTGAAATAGATGTGAAAGACTTAATCTGAATCCCACCCAAATCAACACAAAGATACCACTACAATTTGTGTGTTTAAGTCTGTCTCTGAAAACATTTTCATTCACTTTCCGGTAAACCCCAAATTTTTCGACCATTGCATAATCTACCTTTTCCAAAAAAAAAAACAAAAAAAAAATCAAATAAAAATAATCAATCCCTTTCGGAAAATACCATTCAATCCTCAAAATAATTTTTCCCCAAACTTTTTGAAGCCCCAGGACTTTGCTGTAAATTGAAATATTCAGGCCCAAGACCCAAAATTGTTCGACCATTACAAAATCTATCTTTCCAAAAAATAATTTAAAAAATAATCAAACAAAAATAATCAAACTCTTTCGGAAAAATACTATTCAATCCTCAAAAAAATCTAATTTTTACTTTTTGATGCCCCAAGACTTTTATTATTTGCTGTAAATTTGAAATCCTCAGGCCCAAAATGTTGAACCTTCCCCCCACATTTTCCCTTTATTTTGTAAAATAGTCCAAAATTTTCACAATGTAAGATCCTTGTCCAGTTTTCAAGGTTTCCCTGAATTTTTGTTTCATTCTAAGCCCTTACAAATGAATCTCACTTTATTGCCCCCACCCCAAAGAAAAGTTGTTATTACCAAAGTCACTCCATCTGTGTCTGACACTCCCCGAATCCCCAAATTTACCTGTTTTTCCAAATAAAATTTAAAAAAAATTCAAGTCAAACCCTTCAAATGAATCATTTTAGACTTTTCGATCCCCTAAATATGTTGAAATTATGTAATATTCATTCACTATTGCCTGCTTGCCCGGAACGTAAAGTTTTCAACTTTTCCCCTCAAAATGAAAAAAAATACCCATTTTTGTAGAAGTTTTGTAGAAATCCTGACAGATGAAGAATTTTCTGAATAGGTCCTCGCCCCCCCCCCAAAGAAATTATGATGGTCCCCTTTTTATTCCCAGAATTGGCCTGCTTTTTCCAGATATTTTGAACAAAAAAAGAAGCTTAGATCAAACCCTGACGATGAAGAATTGTGTATATAGGTCCTAACAACACAAAAGTTATTCCTCCTCCCCCTAAAACAAAATTTAATTACTAAATTTGCTTTATTTTTTTAATGACGTTCCTCTTTTCATTCCAAGAATTAGCCTGCTTGTCTAAAACAATTTACAAGAATCAAAAACCTAGACCAAACCTTCATAGATTAAGTATTTTGTGAATAGGCCCTACAATTAAAAACAAAGGTATTTTTTCCATCCCATTCCTGCCCTCCCCCACCAAAAATATTGATTACTAAGATAGCTCCATTCGTTTCTGAACTTTCCCCTTATCTCAGATATTATCCCTTATCTTTCCCCTTATCTCAGAATTGGCATGTTTCCCAGAAATTTGAAAGTATGACAAAATTTAGATCAACCCTGACTAATCAATTATTAAAAAAAAACTAAGTAAAATTGGCTTGCTTTTGCCCCAGAATTAATATTTTTTTTCAGAAATCAAAAAATTGTGTGAGTCAAGCCCTTACTAATGAATACAAACTGATTCTCCCCTACCAATACATCAAATTAGTTTCATTTGTGACTGAAGTATCCCTTAAAATCCGAAAATTGGCCTGCTTTCCAGAAATTAAAAATACAATCGATCAAATCCTTAAAATGAATACTTTATAACGGTTCTAACCCTAAATATATATTGAAATTAAGAAAAAAAACCTTTGCTATTCCCTAACATTCATTTTTCAAATGTTTCCCTTAGTCTCCCCCCGAAGTCTGAAAAAAATTTTTTATTAGGACCTTCTATTTCTCCCAGGCCTCCAAAAGAAAAATAATTATAAAATTCGCTCCATTTAATTCCAAAGTATCTCCATAAATCTATTATGATCTATTTTCCCGAGAATTTCAAACCCTGACGAATGAAACATTTTATGAATAGGCCCTTAGATCTATATACAAACGTTTTCTTCCAACAACACCGCCTCCCCCCGAAAAAAAAATCAATTTAATATCACATTCTCTCCATTGGTTTCTGAGTTTCCTATTTTCCAAAATTGGCCTTTCTTCCAGAAATTTCAAAATAAGTTACATCAAAACCTGACAAATGAATAATTTTAGAGATTTCTCTGCCTCCTAATATATTGACATTAAGTAAATTTTGCTTGTAAAGTTGCCCCTAATAATTAAGTAACCTCTCATTTCTCCTCGAAATCTATAAATCGTGTATATAGGTCCATTCAAATTAAGACAATCATATTCCTTCCCCAAAAAAATATCTTTATTTAGTACTGATGACTATCCACTATCAATTCCCAGATTTTGCCTACTTTTCTAGAATTTTGGAAGTATAGAAATCTTAGATCATACCCTGACATTTATGCAAGGCCCGTACAACTTATCACAATTTTATTCCTCTCCCTCCAAACAAAAGAAAGTATGATTACCACATTCGTTTCCTATCTGATTCCCATAATTGACCCGCTTTTCTAGAAATTGGAAATCAAAATTTAGATCAAAACCTGAAACTTGAAGACATTTGTGAATAGGCCCAAACAAACAAATACAACCCGATTTCGCTTATAAATTATTAGCCTCCCTTTCCCCAAAAATTATCACTCTAAGATCACTCCTTTTGTGTCTGAAGTTTCCCCTTAATTTCCAAAAATTGACTTTAACTTAGATCAAACCATGACAAATGAATAATTTTAGAGACTTGTTTGCCCCTAATATATCAAAAACTAAGTGAAAGTTGCCTGTAAAATTATCCCTAAAAATTACGCAAATCTTTCATTCCCCCATCTGTAAATTGTGTATAGGCCCGTAGAAATGTATTCAACCCTATTGACCCTTTTTTTCTAGAAATTTAGAAATGAAAATTTTTATCAAACCCTGACAGTCGAAGAATTTTGTGAATAGGCCCCAAAAAACAAATACAACCCTATTTCTCATAAGCCCCCTCCCCACATAATAATCACTCTAAAATCGCTCCATTTGTTTCTGAAGTTTCCCCTTATATAAAATTCCATTAGTGGCCTGTTTTCCCGGAAATTAAAAGATCAAATCCTGAAAAAACCACGAATAATTCTAGACATTGCTGGCCCCTTAAGTAAAAATTGCCTGAAATTTATGTTTCAAATGTCCCCAATTTTTTTTTCTCAAGAATTGTACAAATTTGAATAGGCCCTTACCAATGAAAACCAACTTGTCGACCCCCCCCCCAAAAAAAATCTGATTACCAAATTTGCTTTGTTGTTACAAACTTTGCCCCCCACCCCCAAATCAAAAATGAAACAAGATAACTGTGATTAGGCCCGTACAAATAATAGCAAAATTATTTCTCCGTGCATGCCCCACCCAAAAAAATTGTGCTTACCAAGTTCGCCCTTAAATAAAAAAAAAAAGCAATAGAGATGAAGCCCTTAAAAAATTGTAGATTCCCCGACATTTTTCTCAATCATTTTTGTAGATCAGCATGTCCTAAAATAGATAATAATCAAGGCCTTTTGCAACCGCTCAAGATAGATTTGCCCTAATAATGCAGAATTTTCCAAATTATTTGAATACATTTGTCCAACATAAACCCTTTTTTTTTTCAATACTCTATAATTTTACTATTTCTCCTCATGTCCTAACAAATACCCGGCAATTTTCGCCAATTACATTAGAGACCAGATCCAGGTATTTTACTATATGTAAAAAAATCCCCCATAATGTTGTATTTTTGAAAATCGGACGTTTTCCTTTTTTTGGCCAACATTTCCAAAGTTCATAGTGAAAATATACGTACATGTCCCCCATGTCCCTTAAATTATTAGAACTCCCAAAATGTTCAAAACTTTAGGCCTAAGACTAGTTCCCCAAACATTCATAAATGTCAACTATAAATAATTTGTATTTCTTGCCCCAAAGTTTAAAGCAAGTTTTGTCCGTAAATTTGTCTGTAATTTCCAAGCAACTTCCATTCTTATCAGTTATCAAAATTTCACCCCCCCCAAAAAAAAATAGGTTTATTATGAGGCACTTTCTTCTTCAGTCGAAATCCTTGCCAAAATCAAACCTGCATGTCAGGATTGCTAAGCATCGATCGAAAGTTGTACACATATTTATCCCCTAGTAATTCCTTGCCAGTCGACCCTTTAACTAGTAGGAGCATATCTATTATAGTCCCAAAAATGACAACCCTTAATTGTCTTATTGCAGTCCCAAGATCTTTCACAATCAACTTTGCCACAATAGTAAGCCCTAACATACCACCTGAATCTGTTTAGTTCAAGTATTCTGTTGTGAACAATGCCTAAAAAGCAATGAAAATGTTTTCAGAGACTAAGGAAAGCTTGCTTGGCCCAAACTATGAGCTTTTTTGGAATGTCCTCCTACATTTTGTTTTATTTCCATATAAATACAAAAGGATGGTGATTTGTATTTCATTTTTGTTTGTGACATAGTGCTTCATTCTTGCTCATGGTCCTTTTTCATTCTTCATTTAAAAAGGATTTGCCTTCAGTTCTTATCAATTTTACAGCAAGGGAAAAACAATTCTTCTTATTCCCCCCCCCCCCCCAAAAAAAAGACCCTTATGATCACCAAGCCAAGGAGGGTCAAAATTGGAATGTGAAGGAAATTACTGAGCAAATTATGTGGGGATTTTTTTGGTTTTTTTATTTGATTAAAAAAATAATCCTCAAAGACCAGAATTGAGTCACAAAAGCCGTCGACAACATGTCTTTTACACAATATTTCTGGCCGGTGTTACTGTGTTACATGTAAATAACTAGGACCTAGTTGAGTTAAATTCGTATGTTTTTGTTTTGTTTTTGTTTCTGTTTTAGTGTGTGTTTATTTTTTAAGGTTTATTTTCTTCTTTTTTTACCGAAAATTGTACCAATACTTGACCTCAGATGGACAGAAACACAAAAATTGTGGTTTCAATTTGAAGACAGGCTCTTCATATGCAAATTGCTTGGTGATTGGCATTTAACGTGTGTAAAAAATAATGACGCCATCAATCAAAGTCCTGGTGGACCAAATTGAAGACAGAAAAGCACCACCTTCCAACCATATAGAGGGCTCACTACTGATTAGTTGGTCTGCTGTTCCACAACAATGACAAGACATGCACCTTTAGATAATCATTCAATAAAAACACCATCCCCGTAGCTTTTTGTGTAATTCTAAACTGACTTAACTAGATGGAAAAAAAAACAACAATCAATTGGTTTGGAAAACATCCCGACATGAGCACTCTGATCGAGATAAATCATTGATGAGTTAAGGTGCCCTTTTGGGAGCCAATTGAGGAGACCCGAGGGATTGCACAGCTACTGCTTCTAAAAGACTTAAGCTTGTGGCGTTTTGTTTTTACAAGACGGTCCATCCTTCCTACTGGGGATTAACCCTTCAGCATCACACTTTCTCGTCTTTTTCTTTTCTTTAAGAACTTAACTTCTCCACTCATCATACATGCTTCTGAAATTGTGGCCATTATGCTGATGGTGATGGAAACACTGCAACACTTCTTTTGGGGGCCTGAAGTTCTAGATTTAACCGAGCTATTTGAACTGCCAGGGGATCTTGGTTAAGTTGTAAGCAGGGGCATGGAAGGGGGTTAATTCTGGAAAAGCAGGATACAGAAAAGGGCTCATTTTTTTGGGGGGGGGGAGTCAACGAAACTTTTCATTTTTTTTCTCGAAAAGCTGTACACAGTTTAAATGCATTGTGTCCACAAATGTCTTGATTAATGAGTCACAACATCTGATACTGGTGGTCAAAGATTGAGTTTGGACGGTGTGCATATTGCAAAAAGAAATGTAGACAATACAGCTGTACACTCACATGGCCCCTTCAATGGAGAAACCTTGTGCATTCTATTATACAAACATGCCCACGATGGATTGTATCTGAACAACAGCAAGCGCAATACTTTCATGAAGGGGGCCTATATAGGCCATTATCATGTTGCGACTACCTTGATTTTGTTCCCAGCATTCAAATTAACGTAACCAAGTGAGGCTGGAAGGAAAATAGTCTGGTTCCTTTTTACGCACAAAACATTAGCATTCAGTACTGTTATTTGATACAGGGAACATGACTGAAATGGTGGAAGCATGACAAAGGTCTATAAATGTACATGTCTTCCAGACATGCACCGCATGTTGCTCTATAAATGCAACATTATCCAAATAGAAAGAACCTGTTCACATTTTTTCAAGTGCCAATCCGATTTGCTAGGCTGGGTCTATGAAAAACTTCAGAGGTTTACTACCGATTATCCATATCCAGCAGAGTGATCAGCCATTCTCCATGTATGAATCAATGCAAAGAATAAAAAAATGCATACATCAGTACACGTGTGGCATGTTTACATATTGTATGTTTAATCTCCACCTCATTACATTGTTCAAAGCAATACATCATTGTTTCTGCTCATGAACTTATTCCAGTTTCTTGTTGATTGAAAGTAATATCTATAAGCATGTATCTTGATTGCAAAGAAACAGCACAGTGCAGTACCCAAAAACCCAATTTTCCATTACACATATAGCTTTAACATCAGAAGTTACATGCAACTTATGTATCATCAATAGGTGTGTATACAAAATTGGGATCTACACCAATAATTGCAATGGGCAATAATTGCAGTGAGCAATGATAACAAGTACTACACTATATATTGGAAGTTCAAACTATTTATTTGCCATGCTTGCCAGAAATATTTGCTCAAATCATGATTTAAATTTGCAAAAAAAAGGCAACTTGCACAGTAATTGTGTCCAATCTCATTAATTTTGGTAGCAAAATATTTATCTAATATATGAAGAAACTAATAAAATTATAATAGCAATGTATGCAACTTTTGTATCCATTCACCAAATTTTGTTTACAAAATATTCATCAAATAGCTGAAGAAAGGAATGAAATTATAATAGCAATAATGCAAATCAAGGGTGATTTACTAACAAATATGTATCAGATAATTTGCGATACATGTCAAGTATGAATACATTTTTGACTGTTATGATGTATACTTTTATCTTGAAGGGGGTGGCTCAGAGCAGCATCAATACCAGAAAGAAAACCAGTTTGTAAAATATTTTTTAACAAAAGCAGCAAAAAGAAAGCATTAAGAGTCAAATAAAAATAATTATATGAAAACAACTTTGTGAGTCGCCTTCATTAATTTCATGGTGTGGTTTACTTTTGAATTATCTCATTCAAAAATGGGGTTCTCTATCATTCCACCATCAGTCCTTTTTACAGAGCGTTGCAAATGGTTTGACTTGTCGTCCCGAAGCTGGATTGAGGTTGAACCAGTATTCCTGGCTCGTCCTGAGAATCAAACGAAGAATGAAAAAAAAATGCAATGGGGTTAATTTATTGAAACCTTGATTTTGCAAGGATCTGCACCTGTATTTACAGAGGTCGTTTGAAACAAATTGCTTTACAGGACTGTTGCGCTTTAATAGTACATAACACATTTAACCACTTTTGAGAGTGAATGGGACACACCATTAGAATGTATCCCAGCAGCGAAACATTTTTTTCCCCAACGAGTTCGGACAATATCAAAAGAGGGCGCTCTCCCTGCGTTATGCATATTCATTATGTCCAGGGCTTTACAGAATAAGTTATATAACAACACATAATGGTGTTTAAATCGCCGACGATTGGCAGCTGAAACGCGGACTGGTTGGAGGTAGTCCTGACTTCTAACCAGGTGATCCGAGTTCGAAGCCCAGTGAGCATTTTCACTTCTCACTTTACTTTTGAATAACTAATGTGAGGCAGGAACACTTCTCACAAGACGTAAAGCCTATCTTGGGTTTGTGTTGTGGAGAACAAGGCATTAGATATGCATGTAATGGACCAATCAGAAGATGGAAAGCGGACGTCGTTTGGGAAAAAAATCACTTCCCGCCGCCGCCCCTCCCCCCAAAAAAATACGGGGACCGATTTAAAGCCATTGATTGGGTCACCTCTGCGCGCGCGCATCATGATTGTTAATTTGTTGAGTCCTGCTTAGCTCTGTGCATGGACGGTAATTGAACACACGATTGTCAAAAAAACTCACTCTTGTCTTACCACAAAAAGTACGCAAAATCGTCAGTGTCTCCACGAGGGCAACTTTCAAGCATTGCAACTGCATATAATAGTTTTAAATACTGAACAGTAATTTCCCTCTCTTTATTGATATGCAGAGACACTTTCGAATTCAGCAAAAATCGAAGTTTATCACCTTGGAAACTGCAGAAACCTCAGAAATACCTTGTGTCAATAATTGCTTGATGTTTTCAGGTTTTTCTCGGCCTCTTTTACGTGTTTGTTCTTCTGATTTGTTACTCAGAGTTCCCTTGGGTTGCTTTGGAAATTTGGATAACAACGATTTCCATTCTACTATTGGTATCTACCTTCGTCATCGCTATTTAAACCTTCATGAGTTTCTAGATGGCCCTCACTAATAACATCCACACATAATTGTCGTCGAAATGTTACTGAAGTTGAGTGGAATAAAGCAAACTTGAACTTGAAAACTTGGACTTGAACACGATCATGCATGTCATGAGAGCATCAAACACGCAAAGGAGGCGGTCGCATGGAGCATGCTACTTGTGACTGTTGTGTAACATGGTGCCTAGCGGATTCATAAGTCGTGGCCGAAATCACAGACTTTAGGCTCGTCATGTTTTTATGGGAGCTCTTGTAAGCAGTCGAAAAGCGCAATCTATACTATATGTTTTCCCGGCCAATTTCCAGAAATGTTTATTCACTTCTGAAAATCGGTCATTCGTTTTCGTTTGAGTATGAAAGCGCGTCTTTAATCCATTTCAATTCAACGAAAGTTCAATCGTTTTCATTGTCCGTGCATTCGGTTTTGTGAAACAGACGGCCAATTACGTTACCTGTGCATTCATTTATGCAAGCATACCTTTTCAAAAGTATGTTTTTTCTCATTCAACATAGCAGACTGCATCACATAACATGAAACTAAAAGTGAAATAGAATGGCCAATGTTTGAAATCGCCCTCTAAAAGCGAGAAGGAAGTCTTAACGAATCTGAATGAGCATAAACGAAAGGTGCTGCTCAATCACTTAATTTATTGATTGAACTAAAATGGAATCAAATGGCTCTGGTAGCGAAAATGAAACGCGTGTTCAGAGCGATTCGGCGATTCCCAAATCCAGACAAAACGAATGACCGATTTTCAGAAGTGAATGGAACAGTTTAGGAAATTGGCCGAGAAAACCTATATTTATGTATATAGTCCAAAGGTTTTGATACTCACTTCTCTTTGTAACTGGAAGTGTTGCTGACTTTAAGACAATCCCATGGAGTCATGTTGAATGCAGCTGGCGGAAGCCGTCCGCGTTCTTTTGACAACTGACATAGAAAGAAGAAAACTTGAATTATCATCACTATGGGGCCAATTCCATGGAGTTGCAGCTGAACGTACAAATTTGCTAAGAACTGACTTTGTGGTAAAATAGGCTCTGGACCTGTGTGATTATATACCGTATATCAAGTCATTTATGTTTGACTGCTTTCCAGCGAGCGCGAGCTTACTTGTTCACAGCACATGAATTTGTCAAGCATAATCTTTGCTCTGTCCACCATGTGGTGGCATTCTATATGACTTCCCAGATTAACCTTGTCAACAGTGCTAGATTTACAATAAACACTGGTTTAAACTAAACTTCCACATGCATTTACAAGGACAAGCATTTACCTCTCACAGTGTTGCAAAGTTAAATCCTGCACTAGCACAGAGCTACCATTTTTTTTTCACATGTAATTGACTTAAGACCGGTTCATATTCGGCGAAAGCGAATTTTGTGACGTCACAGCATGTTCTCGTGCTACGAATTCGCAATAGTTGAACACACAAAAGTTGAACAACAAAAGTTGAACAACAAAAGTTGATGCAAGTAAGTTTCACCTCGATGGCTAGAGAACGGATGTGATGGGGCTCAAATCCACAACACCCGCCGATATATCGGACTCCGAGATCATACGCCGCCCTGGCAAACCTGTGGGCATCAATGCGGGTTATGGCACGTGGCTCCAATGCTGCAAGAAACACAAAAGAAACTAACAGTAGAATGTCTGAAGTCAATTTGATTTGAGTTAAAAATGAAATTCTCGGTGACTCAACATTACCGGCACACTTTCGCAAAAAGTGGTCGGCCAGCTTTCTATGCAACTCCTCACTGACCGAAGGTTTTGTGCATAAACCTTATCAGTCAGCCGATCACGCTCAATTGACTTAGGCAAAACCACAAGTCCCATCATAAAGAATAAGTTAACCGGACCATTTTTTCCAGGAGTGTCTCTCTAATGAATGGGCTTCTAAAAAAGAAGTTTTGCAAATGGGAAAGACACTTTGAAAACATCCAATCAGTTTGGATATATGCTTCATGAATTTCTGAATAAATGAGCACATTTTTAAAAAGTATTTAGTTACTATTATTTTTCGGTTTGGTGGGGGTGGGTGGGTGGGGGGTGGGGGCTAGACAGACAACATATCAGAATGGCGCAATAAGACCGACAGCAGGCGCAATAATTTTAATTAGGGTTTCAAAAATTTGTAAGCGAATCATTTGCATAGATTGACCCCACAATTTTTTGTAAAAAACGAGACCGTCTAGTTTCAAAATCTGTGGAATCGTGCGAATATAGCAGAGGATCATCTCCCTAGCTTTTGGGCTATTATCTAAGAGTGGATTTGATAAAATTAGGGTCCACAAATCGGTCCTATTTGCACGAGAAAATGTAGGGATGCTATTGGTAAATTTGGCAGTATGCAGGCTCAGCATTACCCGCAGGCTCAGTTACCGGCACACTTTTGCAAAAAATGGTTCGGCCAGCTTTCTATGCAACTCCTCACTGACCGAAGGTTTTGTACATAAATCTTATCAGTCAGCCGATCACGCTGAAATGACTTAGCCAAAACCACAAGTCCCATCATAAAGAATAAGTTTATTAATATTTTTTCCAGGAGTGTGTCTCTTATGAATTTACAGGCAAGTGACTTTTTTACAAGTAAGTGACTTGACTTGACTTGCCTTCCAGGAATTGAATTCCAGTATTTTCAAGAAAGACTTATAAGCATTCTTGAATCTGACAGGGGAGTCTCTCACCATACGGCATCTCTGGCAGTGCATTGTAGCCCCGCCTATCCTCAATCAAGCCAGGGTCCTGGGTGTGAAACCCCAACGGTTGGACCATCAGGTAAGTCTGATCAAGCCCCGCCTCCTTCAGGCCTTCCTTCATTAGGGCGATAGTCTCCAGGCAAATGTCGGGGTCGTACATGCAATTCACGCCAACAACACTGGCACCTGTTATAAGTAAAGAAAAGTCTGTCATGAGCCGGTCATGAAATCATTTCTATTCCCCTTGGATCGGATGCGAGCCCATCGCAGGTTATACTCCACAGCTAATGTCAGTACGCAATTACACTCCTGGGTGGAGAGAGGCAATTTGAAAAGGGGTGGAAATAGTGGTCTGCCCAAGAACCCAACATACGGCCAGCAGCTGGAATTGAACCCCTGAATCTCTGATCATGAGTCATGAACCAACCACTATGCCACACTCGCACACTAACTACTGATGGAAACTAAAGGGTAGGACGCAAACATATGAACGGTACCTGCTTTTGCCATTCTGACAGCACATTCCTGGGGTGAATGCCCTGCAGCATCTCCGCGAGAAGGTATCCTCATGGTACAGGCCACAGGGACGCCTATCTCAGCCATGGCTTGAATGGCCCATTCAGCCTCCTCTATATTGATGAAAAACTGTGACAAGTACAGCAGCATTAGTTGAATTTTATTTCCACTTAAAATTTCTCATGCTTTGGACATAACAAATTTTACCCAGTGTGGTCCCTTTGAACAATTTGCTGCCAATTTCAAACACTGTGCAGGTTTGCTGTGTACATACCTCACCCAGCAGAAAATCCACTTTCTTCTCTCTAAAAGTTGCCATCTGCTTTGTGAATTCACCGACTACGTGTTCTTTGCCCTTCTTGAAGGCTATGGAAGAGACAGGCGAGACAGAGCCTGCTACAAGGGCGTCACCCTCTTCGGCCACGCCCCTTGCAATGTCCACGGCAGCACTGTTTATATCAGCTGTAGTCTGGCAAGGAGAAAAACAAACAGAAAAACACACTACCATAGTTTCACAAACCAAATTGGTGGGGGGCACCATCTTCCGATGGGGGAGCTGTAGAAAGTGGACAATCACGGGCACTGTAGGACAACAGGTGGCCCTCTTCATGGCGTTCGTGGGACATTTAAAAAAAGGCACCTAAAATAAAAGGCACTCGTGGGGGGAAAAGGGCACATGTGAAGAAAGGGCACTCATTATAAAATGTTGGGGGACATAGCCACTTTAACCTCAGACTCCATGATATGCCACTGCTGAAGATTTTAGATTTTCTACCTTGGTAGTACCTCTCAACCATGGTCCCGACCAGGTTTGGGTTTTACCCCTGTTGAGTGCCAGACCCATGTAGATAAAAAGCTGTGTTGAATTCTTGCTTGTGTGAAAGTGGTTTCTAAAATCTCCTTGTTGGACCAGGGTCCAACAGTGTATGTGAAAGGCACTTAAAAGTGTCTGGTCGATTTTGGAAGAGGATGGTTGGGTTTTAAGGACTGCTAGTATATGCTAGGTTTTCCAGCAAATCCCAGTGCCTTAGCCAATTCTCACCAAACTCTTCATTTTCTCGTCGTTACGTGTGGTTGCCACATGTTGGAGTTGCCAATCAGAAGAGTAGAATGTCGCTGTCTGCATGACGTCAGCGCCGGCCCTGAGGTACTCTCGATGCAACTGACGAACTATACCGGTCAGGTAGAAATAATGGAGAAGAAAATAACTTATTGTTTCATTTGTAAAACTAAGACGTTGAAAATTTCAAAGCTTCCTGCAGTACTTACATGTATGAAAAAGCAATTTAATCTATATATTTGTACAACTATAAGATCATAGCAGAGTGGATGAATTATAATTGTAGGCTACGTCGCCGGGACTGTGTCCGAACCAGAACCAGATACTGGACCCAACCCAGCTACCCAGTGGGACAAACACCGAGTGGGACAAGACTGGCATTGTAGTCGAGATGCACCAGTTTGACAAGCTGCGATGAGGATGGATGGCAGAATATTCCTGCGCAATTAGTACCTGCCAGTCATACCCAGTGCACCTGCACCTGGCTAGGCGGCAGTCTCGATTCCACCGCCCGATGCACGTCCGAATGACCATCGCCCAATACAGCTACATCACCAGCCCAGGTAGCCAAACCTGCATCGTACAGCCTTGCTCCGCCACATCCTGCCACACCTTGGCGGCTCCACATCGAAACTCCCACCATCCATGGCTCACCAGGCACAGCGACACCACCACCAGCCATCCCGGCACCACCGTCCTCCACCAACAACACAGAGCCCGGCAGCCACCGGCCTGGTCCCTCGAGCTCTACGGGCACTCATGCCGCAGAACGCCACGGTGACATCAAGGAGAAGCCCGAAACCTCCTTCAGTCTCCTCTTCCAACTCGCACCACACACCGCTCACCTAGGCAGACTCAACCACCAACATGGATGCGAAATGGGGACTTTGTCAAGAAATGACTATACTTTATCAGTCTTTGTCACTCCCCTCCAAAGACTTGGGAGGGCGTAGAGAACTATGACCTACCATTTATTGATTAACGGTTATCTTTTAATTGGTATATTAGTTTGTATCCTGTTTGTTTCAGACGCTTTTGTCATTGCTTGAGGACAATGCCACTACTGTTGGAAAGCAGAAAGTGTCATATAGACCTACTAATATATAGTTGAGTATTGAAAGGTCCTGACCAGTGTTGGATTTGATATCCTTGTAGAGTGCCAGACCTGTGTAGAAGCCGTGTTGGGTTCTAGTGGGTGCGATGAGGTTCCTGGTCCAAGGGTCCAACACAGAGACTTTGGATAGTGTGAAAGGCCCCTTAATATGTCTTATCCTTACCTGCTTCAGGATGCAGAACACATGATTCTGGGGTCCAGGCCGCAGCAGAGACGTACCCTCTGCGCTCCAATAAAAACACAAAGCTTCCATCACCAATGATGACCTCTCCTGCAGCCAAACGCTCCAGCAAACCCTGTTCACGGGAGCAACATAATACACTGGTACATTTTAGTACACCCTAAGACGATCACGATCCCTGTGTGTCTGGGGAAAAACATCAACATGTTCTGTACGTACTGCTGTTGGAAAACGGAACTTTCCGGAAAGTTCCGTTTTCCTGCAGCAAAATTTCCGGAATATTTTTTTTTCATTCCGTAAAATAAACTGTAAAAGTAAAAATGGAAAACAAGCTCGTTGTTCGTAAACTGGGCTTAAATTTGGCGAAGGGTCGCCGAACGTGGGAGACTTGAATAAGTTCAAGGAAATCCCCCCCCCCAAATGCTTCCAATAATTATGTCAATGTCAGTTTGTTTTCTTTCCATTTATTTTTTTCCAATAATTTTGGGAATTTCCTTAAACTTTTTCAAGGCACCTTAGGCAACCCTTCACTAATTAGGCCAATTAACAGACACCTCGTTTTCCCCGGTGCTAGTTGCTGGGCTAAATATCACAACGTTATCATTGTTCGCATGCTTTTCCATACGGTTTTAATATAGGGTAACTGTGCCTGTAAGCAACATGGTGGATTTGAAGCTCATATACTGATGTTTGGTGAGACTTCTTGAAGATATCTGCAGACAAGGTAAATGCGCGAAACTTTGGGGTGTAATAGTAGCCATTTTGGATCGTTAGGCCTACTATGTCATCATAATAATATTCAGTTACTTCTTTAGAAAATCTTATTGAAGTAAGGATGTGTTTTAGTAGAATCCCCAAAATAAAATTTTCAACAATAAAAAAATACAAAATATCTCAAAATATGGGGAACAAATATATTACATGGCAGGGATTAATGATTTATGCAAATTAGATATATTTAGGGTCAAACTTAACGAGGGCATCCACGCACATCTTGTTTGTTATGGTTCAAAGAATTGATCTACCATGGATGCCATTACCCAGAAATGCTGTGAAATTATTATCTAGAGAACTTTTCCACATTGGCTGGCCTACTACTAGAAGTCCCCGAACCTCAGAAAAAAATAAACATCACAGGCTATAATTTGTCTGTTCTTTCAATGTTTGCATTAACATGATTAAAGACACAGAGATCAAATTGTCATGAAACACCAAATGTTGTACCCAGTACATCGGGATGGAATGTACATGATCGGGAAACGAACATCGGCCTATGTGGTCACGTCACCACCATATGGAGGTAGAATTAGATGGTCACCGCACCAACCCAGAATACCGTACGCATGGAGTAATTCCTCAATGGTTGACGTGCATGCTTGCTTTGCCTACTTTTTTTAGGCTGAAGCTGGCTACAATGTAGGCCTATACATGCGAACAGCGATCGATACGTGCACTGCAAGTGTAGTACAAGTTAGACCCGTGAACGTGGCTTGTAAACTATACAACGCCACGTTCACGGGTCTAAGTACAAGTAAGATAGATATTTGGTAACAATGGTACAACAAGGCAGGAATGGTGGTATTATTATACAACCATGGAGCTATTAATATTTATTGCTCCATGATACAACCAACTTACTTTCTTACTAGTCATTCTAAAATGTGTCTTGGCCACGCCGATCCAGCTGAAACACGGCCCGGACGGATAGACCAAACTTGAACTGCGATCGATCGTAGGGGCCTATAGTAACTTGTATGATATTTTTGGCCTTGCGGTGCACGGTGGATGGAGGAACAAATTGAACACCACCGCCGTATAAATAGCACAGTGGTATTATGCAGAGTCACTCGAGCTCACTGTTGAATGATATGCGATATGCCGCGCCGAGGGGGCGGGCGCATTTTTTGTAGATAGCCACTGTGGAAGCTCGACAAAAGCCTTTATTTGAAATGCTTGACTGAGTGATTATAGCAATGTTGTGACGTCTTTGTTGATATAAATAAACATCGATGTGCGCTGCAGATAAAAACACCGCAGCCGGCGGCCTTCACCCACTATCTGACCATATATCCTAGCTCTAATATTGTAACTCCATGCTCTATGGTGCGGCGCGGCATAACATGACATGCAGTGCACTGCGGTACCATGTAATCGCTCGCTGACAATTAGCCTTTCATCAACATGATGAAGGTGAGTTCACAGATCGAATGCATCCTATAAGTTTGTTTACCACGAACAAATCCGTTCTTTGCTTTTAGTAGTGTTTTGTATTCAAACGTACCAAATGCTGTGTTAGACCTATGGTTAGACCATGGAGACAGCGGTGTGAAGTTGGTTACTTATTCCTCGTTCCTTGTTCGACATTCGCACGCTAAACACTACATGTACAAATCATGCATAGAGTGTATCCAAAGCTGCATATACACATTCGCAAACGGCTCATAGACTGGTTTCCTATCCCGCTAGGCCCAGGAACACTTTGTTTTGCCACACATTTTCGTACAACAGAGACCTCTTTTAAGCATGAAGAACACTTTGGACCGGGAAAGGCTGGATGTAGGGGGATGCATGAGGACCTGGGGAACTGGAAAATAATGGGTCTGACCTGGTCCAAGGGGTTTCAGTATTTTTTTCATATTTTTGAAAAAGACAAATCTACGGCGATTTTAATGCACATTTTTCCATATGTTTGTGTACAAAATCGGCGCTCTCAAAGAAATTCCTTTTAATCATGAAGAACGCGGCTTAGACCGGGCAAGGCTGGATGTAGGAGGATGCAAGAGGACCTCAGGAACTAGAAAAAAATAAGTCTGACCTGGTCCAAGGGGTTTCAGTATTTTTTAAATATCTTTGAAAAAGACTTAAATCTACGGCGATTATAATGCACGCTTTTCCATATGTTTGTGTACATAATCGGTGCTCTCAAAGAAATGTCCCTTTAAGCACGAAGAACGTCTTGGACCAGGCAAGGCTGGATGTAGGAGGATGCAGGAGGACCTGCGAAACCTGAAAATAATAAGTCTGACCTGGTCCAAGGGGTTGGAATATTTTTTCCATATTTTTGAAAAAGACTTTAAATCTACGGCGATGTTAATGCACGTTTTTCCATATGTTTGTGTACATAATCGGCGCTCCCAAAGAAATGCCCCTTTAAGCATGAAGAACGCCTTGGACCGGGCAATGCTGGATATAGAAGGATGCAGGAGGACCTGGGAAACTTGAAAATAATAAGTCTGACCTGGTCCAAGGGGTTGGAATATTTTTTCCATATTTTTGAAAAAGATTGAAATCTACGGCTATTTTAATGCGCGTTTTTCCATATGTTTGTGTACATAATCGGTGCTCTAAAAGAAATGTCCCTTTAAGCATGAAGAACGTCTTGGATGGGGCAAGGCTGGATGTAGGAGGATGCAGGAGGACCTGAGCAACTGGAAAATAGTAAGTCTGACCTGGTCCAAGGGGTTAAAGTATTTTTTTCATATTTTTTAAAAAGACTTAAATCTACGGCGATTTTAATGCACGTTTTTGAATATGTTTGTGTACATAATCGGCGCTCTCAAAGAAATGTCCCTTTAAGCATGAAGAACGCCTTGGACCGGGCAAGGCTGGATGTAGGAGGATGCAGGAGGACCTGGGAAACCTGAAAATAATAAGTCTGGCCTGGTCCAAGGGGTTGGAATATTTTTTCCATATTTTTAAAAAAGATTTAAATCTACGGCGATTTTAATGCACGTTTTTCCATATGTTTGTGTACATAATCGGCGCTCTCAAAGAAATGCCCCTATAAGCATGAAGAACGCCTTGGACCGGGCAAGGCTGGATGTAGGAGGATGCAGGAGGACCTGCGAAACCTGAAAATAATAAGTCTGACCTGGTCCAAGGGGTTAAAATATTTGTTTCATATTTTTGAAAAAGACTTTAAATCTACGGCGATTATAATGCACGCTTTTCCATATGTTTGTGTACATAATCGGTGCTCTCAAAGAAATGTCCCTTTAAGCACGAAGAACGTCTTGGACCGGGCAAGGCTGGATGTAGGAGGATGCAGGAGGACCTGCGAAACCTGAAAATAATAAGTCTGACCTGGTCCAAGGGGTTGGAATATTTTTTCCATATTTTGAAAAAGACTTTAAATCTACGGCGATTTTAATGCACGTTTTTGAATATGTTTGTGTACATAATCGGCGCTCTCAAAGAAATGTCCCTTTAAGCATGAAGAACGCCTTGGACCGGGCAAGGCTGGATGTAGGAGGATGCAGGAGGACCTGGGAAACCTGAAAATAATAAGTCTGGCCTGGTCCAAGGGGTTGGAATATTTTTTCCATATTTTTAAAAAAGATTTAAATCTACGGCGATTTTACTGCACGTTTTTCCATATGTTTGTGTACATAATCGGCGCTCTCAAAGAAATGCCCCTATAAGCATGAAGAACGCCTTGGACCGGGCAAGGCTGGATGTAGGAGGATGCAGGAGGACCTGCGAAACCTGAAAATAATAAGTCTGACCTGGTCCAAGGGGTTAAAATATTTGTTTCATATTTTTGAAAAAGACTTTAAATCTACGGCGATTTTAATGCACGTTTTTCCATATGTTTGTGTACATAATCGGCGCTCCCAAAGAAATGCCCCTTTAAGCATGAAGAACGCCTTGGACCGGGCAATGCTGGATATAGAAGGATGCAGGAGGACCTGGGAAACTTGAAAATAATAAGTCTGACCTGGTCCAAGGGGTTGGAATATTTTTTCCATATTTATGAAAAAGATTGAAATCTACGGCTATTTTAATGCACGTTTTTCCCTATGTTTGTGTACATAATCGGTGCTCTAAAAGAAATGTCCCTTTAAGCATGAAGAACGTCTTGGACCGGGCAAGGCTGGATGTAGGAGGATGCAGGAGGACATGAGCAACTGGAAAATAGTGGATCTGACCTGGTCCAAGGGGTTGAAGTATTTCTTTCATATTTTTGAAAAAGACTTAAATCTACGGCGATTTTAATGCACGTTTTTGAATATGTTTGTGTACATAATCGGCGTTCCAAAAGAAATATCCCTTTAATGATGAAGAACGCCTTGGACCGGGCAAGGCTGGATTTAGAAGGATGCAAGAGGACCTGCCAAACCTGAAAATAATAAGTCTGACCTGGTCCAAGGGGTTAAAATATTTTTTCCATATTTTTGAAAAAGACTTAAATCTACGGCGATTTTAATGCACGTTTTTGAATATGTTTGTGTACATAATCGGCGTTCCCAAAGAAATGTCCCTTTAAGCACGAAGAACGTCTTGGACCGGGCAAAGCTGGATGTAGGAGGATGCAGGAGTACCTGAGGAACTAGAAAATAGTGGTTCTAACCTGGTCCAAGGGGTTTCAGTATTTTTTTAATATCTTTGAAAAAGCCTTAAATCTACGGCGATTATAATGCACGTTTCCCCATATGTTTGTGTACATAATCGGCGCTCCTAAAGAAATTTCCCTTTAAGCATGAAGAACGCCTTGGACCGGGCAATGCTGGATGAAGAAGGATGCAGGAGGACCTGGGGAACTTGAAAATAATAAGTCTGACCTGGTCCAAGGGGTTGGATTATTTTTTCCATATTTTTGAAAAAGATTGAAATCTACGGCTATTTTAATGCGCGTTTTTCCATATGTTTGTGTACATAATCGGTGCTCTAAAAGAAATGTCCCTTTAAGCATGAAGAACGTCTTGGATGGGGCAAGGCTGGATGTAGGAGGATGCAGGAGGACCTGAGCAACTGGAAAATAGTAAGTCTGACCTGGTCCAAGGGGTTAAAGTATTTTTTTCATATTTTTGAAAAAGACTTAAATCTACGGCGATTTTAATGCACGTTTTTGAATATGTTTGTGTACATAATCGGCGCTCTCAAAGAAATGTCCCTTTAAGCATGAAGAACGCCTTGGACCGGGCAAGGCTGGATGTAGGAGGATGCAGGAGGACCTGGGAAACCTGAAAATAATAAGTCTGGCCTGGTCCAAGGGGTTGGAATATTTTTTCCATATTTTTAAAAAAGATTTAAATCTACGGCGATTTTACTGCACGTTTTTCCATATGTTTGTGTACATAATCGGCGCTCTCAAAGAAATGCCCCTATAAGCATGAAGAACGCCTTGGACCGGGCAAGGCTGGATGTAGGAGGATGCAGGAGGACCTGCGAAACCTGAAAATAATAAGTCTGACCTGGTCCAAGGGGTTAAAATATTTGTTTCATATTTTTGAAAAAGACTTTAAATCTACGGCGATTTTAATGCACGTTTTTCCATATGTTTGTGTACATAATCGGCGCTCCCAAAGAAATGCCCCTTTAAGCATGAAGAACGCCTTGGACCGGGCAATGCTGGATATAGAAGGATGCAGGAGGACCTGGGAAACTTGAAAATAATAAGTCTGACCTGGTCCAAGGGGTTGGAATATTTTTTCCATATTTATGAAAAAGATTGAAATCTACGGCTATTTTAATGCACGTTTTTCCCTATGTTTGTGTACATAATCGGTGCTCTAAAAGAAATGTCCCTTTAAGCATGAAGAACGTCTTGGACCGGGCAAGGCTGGATGTAGGAGGATGCAGGAGGACATGAGCAACTGGAAAATAGTGGATCTGACCTGGTCCAAGGGGTTGAAGTATTTCTTTCATATTTTTGAAAAAGACTTAAATCTACGGCGATTTTAATGCACGTTTTTGAATATGTTTGTGTACATAATCGGCGTTCCAAAAGAAATATCCCTTTAATGATGAAGAACGCCTTGGACCGGGCAAGGCTGGATTTAGAAGGATGCAAGAGGACCTGCCAAACCTGAAAATAATAAGTCTGACCTGGTCCAAGGGGTTAAAATATTTTTTCCATATTTTTGAAAAAGACTTAAATCTACGGCGATTTTAATGCACGTTTTTGAATATGTTTGTGTACATAATCGGCGTTCCCAAAGAAATGTCCCTTTAAGCACGAAGAACGTCTTGGACCGGGCAAAGCTGGATGTAGGAGGATGCAGGAGTACCTGAGGAACTAGAAAATAGTGGTTCTAACCTGGTCCAAGGGGTTTCAGTATTTTTTTAATATCTTTGAAAAAGCCTTAAATCTACGGCGATTATAATGCACGTTTCCCCATATGTTTGTGTACATAATCGGCGCTCCTAAAGAAATTTCCCTTTAAGCATGAAGAACGCCTTGGACCGGG